GTAGCAAAGGGATGCAGTTTAGCTGTAGGACTAGGAAGAGAGACTCAGTGATTCAGAAATGAAGCCATAAGTTATAGCAGATGGATCTTTAACAATCACAATCGAATCAAGACCCCAGATGAAAAAATGCTGAGGAAAGGAAATGAATGTAGGCTGTTTTTGTATGGAACTGTATATTTCTCATTCTACTGAATAAAGAGCAATGATGCTTTAGACAAAGAATCCAAGATAGCTAATGGAATAAATGCCACAGTGAGTGACAAGCATAGGCAGTTAAGGAATAAAAAGGAAAATGCAAATGTACAGGTACATCTACACTGCAACACTATTTTGAAATAACAAACGCTATTTCAAAATAGTCCGCATCTACACAGCAGGCAGTTATTTTGAAATAGTGTCAAAATACTGTCAAGCTGAAGGACTTACTCTGACTCCCCTTGTTCCTCATACAATGAGGGTTACAGAAGTTGGATGAAGAGTGGTCTATTTCAAAAGTGCTGTGTAGATGCTCCCTATTTCGAAATAAGCTATTTTGAAATAAGATACGCAATTGATGTAGCTCAATTTGCGTAGCTTATTTTGAATTAAGCCCTGCAGTGTAGATGCACCTTAAGAGTTGAATACAATAGGTTGACCAAAAAGGTTAAAAAAAAAGAGTAGGGAGAGTGACAGAAACAAATTGCTAAGCAAATAACATAAAGAAGCAAAATAATATGCTCAACGAAATGTTATATAATGGTTATATTGCAAGATAACAGAACAGACTGGGACATATGAGTTGAAGATGTCAGCCAAGAAAGACAAGTTCAGGCAAATAAGTAAAAACAAACAAGCAATGATGGAAATAATATTTTAAAGAGCTACCTATACAAAGTGCAGTACCCACTGGGTGCCAATGTTTCCTTTTGCCTTGTGGCAAGCAGGACAACAGAAGGAGTTGCAAGAGGGTGAGAGGCCATATTGGAATTAACTGAGGGTACGTCTACACAGCAGAGCTAAAGCCGAATCAAGCTACATAGCTTCAACTACGTCAATTGCATAGCTGAAGTCGAAATAGAGTAATTCAGATTTTGGTGCTGTCTACAGCACAGAACACTCTTCCTTCGACTTCCCTTGCTCCTCATGAAATGAGGGTTACCATGAAGTGGAGTAAGAAGTCCTCCAACTCACCATTATTTTGAAAAAATGATTTGAAGTGTAGATGCTCACTATGTTATTTCAGAATAACATGTTTTTCTGAAATACTGCAGCTGTGTAGACGTACCCTGAGAGATTGTAAGTGAGGCAGGGAATGAGCCACTGTCTTGTCAGTTGAGAGGTTTCTGAATAGGAATGGCTGAGTTGGGAAGCTAAAGTAATGCGATCTTAAAAATATAGGGGGGAAATTTGAGTGAGTTGCGCTGGGGAAGATGAATTGAGAAAACAAAGCTAGGGACCATTGACTGAAAGCTTAAGAAAAGATTTTGTTACAATATTCACATTCAGAAACGAAGACCAGAACTGAACACCAGAAGCAACTGTTTTCAATTATAACTTCTGTTATGATTTATTATCAGTAGAATTACTGGATAAAGCTTGTACTGTGATTTTCATTATATAGTCCCTCACAGAGTCTTTGCTTTTCAAGTCAGAGCCAAGCCTTAACAGGCAAGAACCCATCCTGATGTCCTCTGCTCCCTTAGAGGCAAGAAGTTGTACCCTCAGAAAGGTGTCCTGATTCCTTAGAAACTCTCTGGTTCTCACTTTGGTAGATGAGCAATCTAGGAAGCTGCTTGTCTAGGGATCTGTTCTGAAGTATGCATCCAAAGGCTTGAAAGCCAAGTGTTGCATCTTAAGAGTCACTCTGCGTCCCAGTAACAAATCATCTCAAAATGTGGATGCTTTCTTTGTGCAAAGATGGACAGGGACCACTGGGAAATGATGCAACCAGAAGATACCTTAGACGTTTACATTTTATGGGGTTATGTTTGATTTTGCAGTTGAAACAATTCTAAGGCTTTTGGGAAATCCTTGAGATAATGGAGAGAACACCATTCTGTCCAGTTATGACCCTGATGAAGTATGTGTAGTCTAAAACAAGGGCTAGAAAGCTAGCGAGAGGAGAGACAATATAGCGAGAGGAGTATTCCAATTATATACTTAGCTGCAAGCACACCCAAAGATCAAATCTTTACATCTCAGTAATTCTCTGGTGTCTTCTAGCCCTTGATTCTGGAATAGCAGGATGAGAAAAGTTTTTTTTAATCACTTTCTCTTAGGTCACGAGTGGAGAACCAAAGGCCCAGGAACCAGAAGCAGTCCCTGGCTTGCCTGGATCCAGCCCCCAGAGCTCAAGGCTCTTTCCTACCCCCAGCACTGGGAAGCCCGCACTGGCACTCCAGCCCCCACCCGACTGTTTTTTTTCTGTAAGTCAGCAGCCTCCGACCCAAAAAAGTTTCCCCAACCTTGCCATAGGTAAAGACAGTTTATTTTGAGAAGAGACAATTTTGCAGGTGGGCTGTCTAAGAACTGTGCAGGTGGGCTGCACAGTTATCTCTCAGGTTCAGGTATCTCAGGTTCAGGTATCTCTCAGGTTCTCAAACTTCATTGCATGGTGACCCCCTTTTGACAACAAACTTTATTACATATCCACAGGAGGGGGAACCGAAGCCTGAGTCTTACCATCCTGGGCTTGGGGGGGCCAAAGCAGAAGCCCAAGGGCTTCAGCCACAGACTGGAGACCTGTAACCTGAGTCTCACTGCTCAGGAGTGAAACCCTCAGGCTCCAGCTTTGGTGCTATGTGGTAGAGCTTAGGCTTTGGCCCAGACCCCAGAAGATGCCAGTTCTAGCGACTCCATTGGAAAAGGGTTGCAACCTACTTTAAGTTCCTAACCCACAGTTTGAGAATAGCTGCCCCATTGTACTTGTGAAGATATTTTGCAATTAAGGGAGGCTTCCTCCTTGGCCGCATGAAAACAAATTTCCTTTCAGGTATCTCTCAGGTCAATAATTCTGTTTCTATAGCTTCTGGGAAGAGATTCCCTCTCCCAGGAAAAGTGTTTGCTTTTGGGTAGATCTGAGCAAAGCCCAATAATCAGATATTATTTATGTTAAAACCTGTTTTCCTTCATTAACTCTATAGCCCTAAGCTATTGTCTGATTCTAAGGTATTCTCCGTCTTATTCTCTATCCCTTTTTTAATGATTCCTAACGTCCTGTTTGATTTTTTGACTGCCGTTGCACACTGCATAGACGTCTTCAGAGAACTATCCAGGATGACTCCAAGATCTCTTTCCTGATTAGTTGTAGCTAAATTAGCCCCCATTATATTATATGTATAGTTGGGGTTATTTTTTTCCAATGTGCATCACTTTACATTTATCCACATTAATTTCATTTGCCATTTTGTTGCCTAGTTACTTAGTTTGGTGAGATTTTTTTTAAGTT